AGTGGTGCTGGGAACACCAGTGGGGGATGTGATGCGGACGGTGGTGGGGACCGGGAGTCGTTTGCTGGCGGTGAGTAGGGGGGGGGGGGGGGGGGGGGGGTTCGAACCGGTAGTGACCCCCCCGGTTTTTACGGATCCGGAGGGGGGGGGGGGGGGGAGGGGTTCGAACCGGTAGTGACCCCCCCCAGTTTTCGAAGGGGAGGGGGGGGGGGGGAGGGGTTAGGGGAGGGGGGGGGTTTGCGGGGGAGAGGGGGGGGGGGGGGAGGGGTTCCAGCAGGGGGGGGGGATTTTCGGAGGGGGGTGGGGGGGGAGACCCCCGGGTTCCGGAGGAAAAGGTTGGCAATTTTCCATAGTAAAGCGGCGGTGGATCACGCTCTCTCAAATATTGAGATCAAGTCGAAAAAACGAACAGTTAGCTCAAACAGTTGCAGAGTGCGAACAGGTTTTCGGCCAGAGCTTGACAAACATGCTGAGTTTAGGCGTCCCGATCCTCTAGACTGGAGTTTCCGATGCTGCTGAAGCTATCGGTACACATGAAGAAACCTCCGTGACTGGTCTATGAACCCAACGTACACATAAGATACTATTTTCTGAAGGTCGGTTCCTGGAAATGAATCCATATAAATGTTCGAGCTACGGCTCTGAAGCTTTCACCCGCGGAGTCTAAAGATTCTAATGCTCGGCGCGAAAATCTTGATTCTCAACATGAATGTTTTAATTTTCGAGCAACCTTCCAAAAACCGACGCCAGGTCACCACAGTGTCCTTTCTGCCGCCGGTCCGCATCTGTGCCACATATTGGCGGCGCGCACAAGGGGGTGGAGGGAAGGGGGGGGCTTCTTAGAAGGGGGCCGCTTCTTAGAAGGCGCCGGCCTTACATCTGCAAAGAAGGCCCGCGCCTTCTAAGGAGCAGGGGTGCTTCTAAGAAGCCTTCCCCCCTCCCCCTACCCCCTGCTGCGCGTGGCCAGGTCGGCCCCAAACGCCTTCGCGCCCTCCAGATCTGCCCAGGAGGCCGCCAGGACGTCCCAAGAAGGCTCCAAGAGCACTCCCGAGAAGGGCCCCACGAGGCAAGATGCATTGACTTCAATTTCGCTTGTAAAAGATTGAAGCGCTCTCGCCCTTTCCGCTCCCCGCTGCTCCACGACGGCCCAAGAGCCCCCAACGATCGCCCAAAGAGGGCCCCAGAGGCCTCCAAGAGGGCCCCCAAGCAGCCCAAGAGGACCCCAAGATACCCCATAGCGCTTCCAAGACGAGCCCAAGAGGCCCCCGAGACGGCTCAAAGAGGGTGCCCAGCCGGGGGGCCCGAACGGACATTTCGAGCCTTCGGCACCGAGAGGCTCACAGGAGGCCCCAAGAGGTTCCCAAGATGCCCCCAAGAGGCTCCCAAGAGGCCCCTGAGAGGCCCACAAGAGATCCCCAGGAAGCCCCCAAGAGGCCCCCAGAGGCTCCGAAGAGGCCCCCATGAGGCTCCCAAGAGGCCCCAGAATCCCTCCCCAGAGGCGCCCGAGAGCCTTCCGACGAGACCTCAAGAAGCATCCCTCTGGCCCACGTCGTCGTCGTCGTCGTCGTCGTCGTCGTCGTCGCCACCGCCGTTGTTGTCGTCGTCCCCCTTCAGGATCGGCGGCACCGGCCGTAAGGTCTCCGCAAAAAAGAACAACATATACCAAATACAATGAACAGAACAGGCCAACCCAACATTCTGGCCGGCGAGTGTTCGAGGGGGCACCCGGGGCCGTCACGCGTGACATCCCCGTGTCCCCAGGCTTGGGAGAGCCGCGGTGAGGATAGGGAAGATGATGATGACGAGGAAGAGGATGTGCAGGAGGACGAGGAAACAGGAAGAGGAGGAGGAGGACGAGGAGGAACAGGAGGAGGAGGAGGAGGAGGAGGAACAGGAACAGGAACAGGAGGAACAGGAGCAGGAGGAACAAGAACAGGAGGAGGAGGAGGAGGAGGAGGAGGAGGAAGACAGCCGTCACATATAGCACTTTTCATCTCCACTTCTTGAGGAGCTCTCCTGGGGCTCGCTAGGGCCGTTTGGGAACTTGAATTGGCCTCCTGCCCTGCGGTGCAGTCTTGGGGAGTCCTTGGGGTCGTCTTGGGGCCGTCCTTGGGCCGCCTCGGGGGTCTCTGAGGCCGTCTTGCGGCTCTCGTGGGGCGTCCTAGGACCCTCTTGGCCGTATGCTCGTTTTCTCGGGTCCATCGCGGAGCCGTCTTGGGCTGGGCGACCTTGAGCTGACGGAAGCCCGGAAAAGAGAGAACGCGAGAATCTCTCAAACACCTGATGATACACTGTGATTTTGGCTTCGTCAGGCCCTGTTGAGGGTCCTCTTGTGGCCCTCTTGGTGTTGATGGTCATGCTCGTCTTCCTTATCTTCATCATGTTCATCATCCTTATTATGCTCATCATGTTCATCCTCCTTATCCTCATCATCATGTGTCTCATCGTCCTCGTGCGCGTTCTCCGTACCTTCGTCATGCTAATCCTTATCATCGTCACCCGCCTCATCATCCTCATCGCTGTCTCCAACCTCCTTATCCTCCTCACCCTTGTCCTCCCAGCTAACTCCTTCCATTTCTAGCCTATTGCTCGTCGCAATGCTCACCCTGCTAATCGCAACCTTCTCGCACACTTCCCCGTCAGCCTCATCGCCATTCCCCCTCATCCTCGTTGAATTGTTCCCATCCTCGGCCTCGCCCGCCTATTCTGCTAATCCATCCTGCCCCCTTCCCCCCGTCCCCCCTTTCGGTACCCGACCGCTCGGTGCCAAATCCCACGAGCCGTTGGGCAGGGAGGAAGCGTTGAAAAACGCATGCTTTTCTACCCATTCTATCTGAATCGAGCTGCGGATACTTGCGAGCGTCTGCCTTCGATGCGAGTGCCAGATCGGTAAAAATACATCGGTCATCGGTGACCTCCATGCGTCACCCTCCAAACGCTGAACACTGGTTGCTTTTCCAACAGGTTCCATAGATCTGGTCATCCCTTGCCTGGAGTTCCCCCACGATGGCTCGAATCGAAGATGTGGTACAGCCCATGTGACTGCGGCGGAAGGAAGAAGTTGCGCACGGAAAAAGAAGACACGCCCTCCTGGCAGTGTTCGTGATCGCCGCTTGCGAAACAGCTGGGCAGGGCATGCCTCTTTCGCGTCCTCCGTCGCCTACCCCTCTCTCGCTTTCCCCTGTTCGCTGCCACATGTTCACTGCGCTCCCCGATGTATGCCTCCCCCCCTTGGTGGTCTTGCCTGTTCCTTGGTAGTCTTGCCTGTTCCTGTCCCCCATGGGTGGGGGCCAGAGCTGGAGTTGTTTTGTTTGTTGTGTGCTCTCCCTCTCTCTCTCTCTCTCTCTTACTATATAACTTTATATGAATATCAGCTTCACCCACATCGTGGAACTTTCGCGGGCTGCTGATCGGATCCGATCCGATCCGATGCACGCTGGAAGGCCGTTCCAGAAAGGCTCCGCCAGAACGTGCCGATCGAGGAAGAAGAACTATGCACATGCACCGATGCTTGCCAGGCCCATCCTGAGCCCAGGATCGGTGCATACGCCCTCCTACCCTGGCCAGGAAGGCAGATGCACCGATCCTGGGGCACGGATGGGCCTTGCCAGGATCGGTGCATGGGCATAGTTCTCATCGCCCGAGCCAAGAAGAGGCCCGTGGAAAAAGCAGGAGGGGCCGGGAGGGGGCAGGGCAAGCTAAGAAACGAGAGCGCCGCGCGATGCCCACCCGCTGAACTGGCCTGGGGCCGCCAGGCCGAGTGGCTGGCCGCGTGTCCTCCTCCTGCGCCTCCTCCTCCTCCTTCTCCGCCTCCTGCTTCCTCCTCCTCCGCCTCCTCCTCCTCCTCCTCCTCCGCCTCCTCCTCCTCCTCTCCCTCCTCTTCCTCCTCCTCCTCCGCCGCGCGGGTGCCCGCGCGTGCTGTAGCTTTGCTCCTTCTGCGGCGCGCTCACGGGGGCGCTCCACCTCCGTGCTCAAGGCAGCGCACTGATGGCGGACGCGAGACCCGTGCGCCCTCGTCGCCCTGGGATCTCTTGAGAGGCCTGCCTCTTTGGGGGCCTCTTGGCGGCCTCGCGGGGACAGCCGGACCCGTGTGGGGGGCCTCCGTAGGGGGAACAGCTACCTGGCAGGGAAAGGGTTCAAACTGTCCTTTCGGGCTCCCCCTCTTGGACCTCCTTTCGATGCGTCTTGGCCGCTCTTGGGCCGTCTCGGGCGCATCGGTGGCCGTCTTGCCTCGATACGATCAGCCGATCAGCGGCCGAGCAGCCGACCAGCCGATCAACCGATCAGTCTTGTCGGCTGATCGGCTGCTCGGTCGCTCGGATGCTCGGTCGCTGGTCGGTTGATCGGCTGGGCTCGGATACCACCCTGGGAAGCCGTGGCCACGATAAACATACAAACATACAGTGTCGACAGGCATCGATAACAAAAAAGGCAACACCGAACCTTCAAACAAGATGAAAATATTTGAACTACTACTAGTACTAACACTGGTACTCGTACTATTACTACTACTACTTCTTCTTCTTCTACTACTACTACTACTACTACTACTACTACTACCACTACTACTACTACTATTACTACTACTACTACTACTACTACTACTACTACTACTACTACTACTACTACTACTACTACTTACTACTACTACTACTACTACTACTACTACTACTACTACTACTATACTACTACTACTACTACTACTACTACTACTACTACTACTACTACTACTACTACTACTACTACTACTACTACTACTACTACTACTACTATTACTACTACTACTACTACGACAACGACTACTACTACTAATTGTATTTCTACTTCTGCCGCTACTACTACTACTACTACTACTGCTGCTGCTGCTACTACTACTAATGAGAACACCCATACGAATACTAGATCAGTTATGAGCCACATAATTCAATAACTCAATACAATCAACAATATTATAATAAGAACATTATACGAATAGTACAAATGATATGTAGCATAACGTCGATGGCGTCGGGTTCCAACTTCGTCTCCCACATCTCGCTGAGAAGCACCAAAGCCCAGTGCCACTGACCGCCCTTCTCACAAGAGCTGATCCCAGCGTTGTAAACAATGACATTCGGAAGCAACTTCCCCTCCCACATCTCGTGGAGCAGCACCAAAGACCTCTGCCACTGCCCGCAATTCTCGCATACGCTAATACTGGCGCTGTAGCTAACTGAGGCTGACCCGTGGCCCACCGGCCACGAAATGTGTCCGATATTGCACGTTGGGTCAGGGCGGAGATGTTGCCAGGAAGCTGCCATGATGACATTGGCCGCGAACCTCGTCTCTGCCGTTGCTGCTTGCGGCTGCAGGGTGCTGTTGCCTGCTGCACGCTGCTGCTGCTGCTGCTGCTGCTGCTGCTGCTTGCCGCTGCTGCGTGCTGCCTCTGGTGCTGCCTACTGTTCGTTGTCGTCGCTGGGGGCTGCAAGTGGTTGCATCTCTGGACTCCTGCTGGCTGGACGGAGGCGGCTGCTCGTGGGCTGCCCGTGAATGGATCAAGGATCGATGAACGATGCATCGTTATAGGGGCTGGAGAAGCGAGAAACGATAAGCGAGGAGCCAGGAGCATGGAGCGAAAAGGGATGCGCGACTGGCGCGCACTATACCAGTGGGCTAACTCCACGATTGACAGCACCATCCTCTTGCTGCTGCTTGCGGCTGCCTGATGCTGCTGCTGCTGCTGCTGCTGCTGCTGCTGCCCGCAACTTGCCGATTGTGGCCGCTACTTCTTCCTGCTGCCTTCTGAGGGTGCCAGCCAATGTCTCGTGCCACCTCTCGTTGCTGCGGGTGCATTCTGCTGATGCTGCTGCTGGTTGCTGTGGCTGCTGTGGCTGCTGCTGCTGCTGCTGCTGCTGCTGCTGCTGCTGCTGCTGCTGCTGCTGCTGCTGCTGCTGCTGCTTGTGTGTTCTGCTTGCTGCTGCTGCCTGCTGCCGATTGTCTCGTCTGGCTGCCGTTGCCGCTGCTGAGCCTGCTGACCCTGCTCCTGCTGGCCCTGCTGCTGCTGCTGCTGCTGGCTGCGCTGCTTGCTCGCGGCGCTCGCTCGCTTGTCCTGCCTCGAGTCGCGCAGCCCTCTTGGGGCAATCTTGGCGCTGCCAGCCCACCTGGCGCGGTGCGCGGCTCTCGCGCGAGCCCTTCGCCGTCCGCGGGATGCTTGGCTTCGGCAGGATTGTGGGCCCGCGAGGCACGGCGGCATGGCTGTGGTCGTCGTCCGAGATGTTGTCGTCTTCAACTTCGGCCCAAGCCCCCGGCCGGCGATGCGCGCGCTCACCCGCGCGCACCATGTCCCGCGCATCTTCCTTCTGTCCTCATCAGTATCCTCGCCATTCTCTCAGTTCAAGACTGTCTCCTCCTCCAACTAGGGACGGCAAGTGTCCTATGTGATAGCCTTCTCCTCTTCCTCCTGCTTCTCTCCTCCTCCTCCTCCTCCTCCTCCTCCTCCTCCTCCTCCTCGTTCTCGGCCTTCCCGGCGGTGCTCGGAAGAGGTCGCCACGCAGAGCTGCGCGCTCCGCACCGCGGCGGGCCCTGCCGCGGGCAGCTGGACCCAGTGGAGGCCAGCCCACAAGAAACCTCCCACAAGAAACCCAACCCTGAGACCCCAGGACCTTCTACAAGAAACCTCCCACAAGAAACCCAATCCTGAGACCCCAGGACCTTCCACAAGAAACCTTCCACAAGAAACCCAATCCTGAGACCCCAGGACCTTCCACAAGAGACCTTCCACAAGAAACCCAACCCCTGAGACCCCTGCAAACGTCACGCCTTCCATCGCAAAACCATCGCAACCCCAGAAGCCCAGGGCGCCCTGGAGGCAGGCAGGGTGTTTCTTGGCATGGGCCTCCACTGGAATGCAGACAACGTGGGGCTCCAACGGCACCTCGCGCACCTCGCAGAACATGGCCCGAGCCCGATGCTACTGCTCACCCTTCCCGCACGCGCTGATCCCCGCGCTGTAGCTGACCAATGCTGGCCCGTGGAGTCCACGAAAGCTGAATAGAGATCGCCTGGGCTACATGGTTCCTAGCCTGGCAGCCTGAAAGCTGGTGGCCCGCTCACCTGCTGTGTGTATTGTTTGCTTCAATGCCTGCTCTCCCGCACGCTGCCACTTGCTGATGCTTGGTGTTTCTCTTCGCTGCTTTCTGCTGTTTGCTGCTTCTCGCCGCCGCGGACTAGTGTTTGCTGGTGCGGGATGCTGCTTGATGCGGCTTGGGGCTGCTGCGTGCTGCTGCACTGAGAGCTGCCTGGCACGTCCCCTTACCCAAGCAACACAATTGTCATGGAAATCGCGCTCGCCATTAGGGCGCTTTGCCGGGATGAATGACGATGTCCGCCTGCGTTACATGTGGAGTGGTTGTGGAGCCTCGGGGCCAGCTTGGCGCAATATTGGGTCTGTCCTTGGGGGCCTTGGCTGCGTGCTGCTGCTTATTGTTCATCGCTGCTGCCACGTGCTGGACCAACCTGGTGCTGCTTGCACTCGCCTGCTGCTGCTGCCTGTTCCTGCCGCTGCCTGAAGGTTTCAGGACACCGTCGGAACCTCTCGGGGCCTCTTGTGCCGTGTGGTTGTGGATGCCATGACAATGGACACTCGAGCAATGCTCTCCTTGAATTAAAGATGTGCTTAAACTGTTCATGAAAAATGGCCCCTTCCGGGGCCTCGTATCTGGCCTCGAAGACGGCGCGCTCCCCCGAAAATCCGTTCGCAGCATCTCCAATTTGGCTCCAACCAGCCGATCTATTGGCCCGCGCCCCTGTGGACATGACTGGGGTGGCCCCACGGGGATCACATCCACGGCAGCCAGCCTGATCTGATCGGAATCCCATCCCAGTGGCCACGACAGCTTACTCGAAGCGTGCCAAAGGTGAGGATCGCGGGATCGCTCGCGGGCCTGACTGCTTGCCTGCAGTCCTGCTTGCGAGCGATTTGTCCTGGGCGGCGAGCCTGGGAACCTGAAGCGTCGATGCTGGGATCTCCTGGGCACTCTTGGTGCGCTCTGCAACGGTCCTGGGGTGCTTTGGGTATGTCCTTGTATCTGGGGCGGCCTGACAAGGACGCGTGTTTCCGAGGCGGCCAGCCGGGCAACGTGAACCTTCGAAGCTGGGATCTCTTGGGGGTCTCTTGGAGCCCTATCGAGCGACCTTTGGATCATCGTGGGCATTCTGACAGCCCTGGAGGAAGGAGCGAGTAGAGATATGGCCTATATTGAGGCGATATGGTAGCCACCTTGGAGCTTTCTTGGAGCCACGTGGGGCCATGTTGGGTACTTCATGGGCTTTTGCGGGGCCTCTCCGTCTAATCGTAGAGGGTTGCTGGGGGGTCTCGCCTGGCCTTTCTGGGAATCAGCAGGCCTTCTGGCAGAGTAGTGGGGCCGTCGTGGGGCGCTCTTGGACCGTGTTGGAGCTGCATTGGCCCATCTTGGAGGCCAGCTTGCATTGGCCATCTTGCGGGCCTCCTGGGCTCTCTTGGAGGCCTCTGTGGCAGCTCTTCCAGTCCTCGGAAGAAGAGAAACGACAGCGCGGCAGGTGGTCAGACACCACAGGGAAGCCAGCCTGGGAGCCCCGCACGCCCTCCGTGGAGCCTGTCGGGGCCGCCTCGTCTCCATCTGGAGGCACCCGGGGCCGCCTCGGGATCCTCTTTCGAGGTCCTGGGCGCCTGCCGGGGAACCTCTCGGTCATAGGGGGAAAACAAACCTACCTCGCTTTTGACCACCCTCGCTTCCAAGAGATACCAAACGATGCCAAACTACGGCCTGTACTGTTCCGGCTGCTTGACGAGGAGGCGCGTGGTATGACTTGGTTTTGCCTGGAAGCGAAAGCGGGGTAGGTAATTCACGCTCTAAGGTAAACCAGAAAACAGACGACACCACCCCACCTGCGGCCCCACGGGCCGCAGCGTATACCAGGACATCTGGCGCGGGTTTTTGCGTATACGCTACGGCCCCAGGTGGGCCGTAGCGCGACACGGAGGGCCGTAGGTGGGGTGGTGTCGTTTGTTTTTGTTGGCCGACTCGGGCCAACTTGTCACCATCTCGAGGCATCTGGGGCCGCCTTGGGGCGCCTCTTTTGAGGTCCTGGGCGCCTCCCGGAGGATCTCTCGGGGCCAGCTTGCCACCATCTCGAGGCATCTGGGGCCGCCTTGGGCCAACTTTCTTTCGAGGTCCTGGGCGCCCGCCGGAGGATCTCTCTCGGGGCCAATTTGCCACCATCTCGAGGAATCTGGGGCCGCCCTGGACCAATTTTCTTTCGAAGTCCTGGGCGCCCGCCGGAGGATCTCTCGGGGCCAACTGGTCACCATCTCGAGGCATCTGGGGCCGCCTTGGGGCGCCTCTGCCGCGGTCCTGGGCGCCCGCCGGAGGATCTCTCTCGGGGCGGACTTGCCACCATCTCGAAGCATCTGGGGCCGCCTTGGGCCAACTTTCTTTCGAGGCCCTGGGCGCCCGCCGGAGGATCTCTCGGGGCCAACTTGCAACCATCTCGAGGCATCTGGGGCCGCCTTGGGCCAACTTTCTTTCGAGGTCCTGGGCGCCCGCCGGAGGATCTCTCGGGGCCAACTTGCCACCATCTTGGAGACCTTTTTTTGTTTGTTTGAATCGGCGATAACCTGGGTTATCCCGGAAGGGGGGTGGGGAGGGGGCGGGCCGACATCCTAACCCTCGCGCTGTGGGCAGCCCTGCATGTGCCCGCGCACCCCCTCCCGCGGACCTGCACAACCGGCAAGGTCCGGTGATCCTGGGGGGGGGGGAGGGGGGGCAAGCCCGATGACCTGGGTTATCGCCCGACCCTGAAAAACCTGGGGGGTATGGGGGGGCAAGCCTGATAACCTGGGTTATCGCCTGGCCCTGAAAAACCTGGGGGGGGGAGGGGGGGCAAGCCCGATAACCTCCCAGACATGCGACGTCCTGATTTTTTCAGGACGGCGTCCCCGAAAGTCCAGACCCTTTCCCAGGGCCGGTTTTTCATCCTGAGTCGTTTTTTGACGGTCCCGGGGCCCGGCGAGGGCCTCTGGAGGCCTAAAATAGCGAAAAACTTCCCGTCCTAATTTTTTGGCGACGCGAGCATGTCTGGGCTGGGTTATTGCCCGACCCTTAAAAAAACAGTCTCTTGAGGCATCGGGGGCCGCCTTGGGGCGCCCCTGCCGCGGTCCTGGGCGCCCGCGGGAGGATCTCCTGGGCCAGGGCCGCACGCAGCCCTCGGAGGGCTCCACTGAACTGTCCCGCCAGGTCGTGGCACACTCTCAGAGACGACGAGGAGGAGGAGGAGGAGGAGGAGGAGGAGGAGGAGGAGGAGGAGGAGGAGGAGGAGGAGGAGGAGGAGGAGGGAGGAGGAGGAGGAGGAGGAGGAGGAGGAGGAGGAGGAGGAGGAGGAGGGAGGAGGAGGAGGAGGAGGAGGAGGAGGAGGAGGAGGAGGAAGAGGAGGAGGAGGAGGAGGAGGAGGAGGAGGAGGAGTGGGAGGAGGAGGAGGAGGAGGCGAGCAATCCAGCAGTAGAGACCATTCATGCTCTGTTGTTCGAGGCGGCTTCAAGCGGGGACCCGGCGGTTGAGGAGCGCCCCTCGGCTCAACCAGATCCCGCCGAGGCCAGGGCAGCCAGCTTTCTCACACGCGCCGAGCCCAGAGCTGTAGCTGACTGCGGCTGTCCTGTGGACTACAGGGCAGTTTGTTATACATAGGATTTCCAAACATATATGTTTTAATACATGATCGATGTATGCATAAATTTATGCATGAACTCATCGTTGCTTGTAGTACTAAATCCCTGAATTTGTTATACATGATCCGCACGCGGAGCATGTATAAAAAAACGGCACTGTACCGTCCGCGAAAGCTTACTGCAATGCCGTGGTGAAGATCGATTGCCTGCTTGCCTGCCTGCTGTCCTGCTCGCGTGGTTGCCAGCTGTTGGTCGGGCTGTTTGTGGCTTCGTCGCCTGCGTCCATTCTTTCTGTTTTGCTTCATTATTTTAAAAGGGGCCCTGGGACACACAAATAAATAGACACAACTAATGTATCCCCCATACTTTCCGGCACTTTCTGGGTTTTCATCTTCCCCCCCAGATCCCATACTTTCCCTATTTTCTGTGGAATCAACGAGTAATTGTGTCTGTGTGTTTCTGTCCCTCCTGATGTTTGCTCTCTTTCTCTCTTTCTTGCTGATTGTTTGCTCGCCCTTTCGTTACCGATTGCTGCTGGTTGCCGCCTACCGACCGACCACGTACTGAGACGTGCAGCTGCTTGCTGCATCCTGTGGGTGTCGCCTGCCGCTGAGCCGATTGATGCCGCGTGCTGCGTGCGTGCTGCTTGCTGATGCAGCCTGCCACTGGTGATTGCTGCTGGTGCTGCTGGTGCTGCTGCTGCTGCTGCTTACATATGCTGCCTGCTAGTGCTGCGTGGTGCTGCGGCGTGCCGCTGCGTGCCGCTAGCTGCTGCTGCTTGCTGCTGCAGGGTGTGCTGCTACTCGCTGCTTCTGCTTGCTGATGCGGCGTGCTGCTGGTTGCTAGCTACTGTTCCAGCGATCCTGTCGCGGCGTATTCAGGGCGTGCTGGGGCCCTTTGGGGCCGTCTTGCGGTCCCTAAGGGCTCCTGGGGGTCCCAGTTTTGCCCCCTTCTCTAGGGGCCAGCTTGGGCCAACGTGGGCCTCCCTTGGGCTGTCTTGAAGCCATTCGGAGGCCTCTTTGGACAGTCTTGGTGCGCCTTGGGCCGTCCTGAAGGTTTCTTACAGCACTCTGAAGCCGTCCTGCTGTCACGGTGGGCCATATTGGAGACCTCTTAGGGCTTCTAGGGACGTCTCAAGTGCTCCTGGATGTGTGCTTTGTGGCGAAAGCCACTCTTGACGTCTGTTCGGGCCTGTCTTGGGGCATACCTGGCGCATCCCGGACCCGCAAGTGGGCCTCCAACTTGTCTTTGGATTAGCATGCTGGGCGATCGCCGGGCCCTCCAAGACTTTGACGAGAATGGTGTCATGATGCGACTGGCTTAGAATGCGTTCCAGCAGCGCGGAAGGATCTAGGATCTAGCGGCCCTCGTGTCTGCAGCCCGCGCTGAACCTTAGGACACCTGGCAAGTCTTAAAATCTTGGAACGTACCAGCATCATGAGCATGACCTCCTGCTCCTCTGATGGTTCTGTTTTCTACCACCACCATCCTGAGTTGGAGGGGGAGGAGGAGGAAAAGGAAGAGGACGAGAAGGAGGAGGAGGTGGTGGAAAAGGAGGAGGACGAGGACGAGGAGGAGGAAGACCCCCTCCCCCTTCGACTGATGGTGGTGGTGGTGGTGGTGGAAAACAGGCCCAACATCCTCTGAGAGACGCTCGCCGACGCCTGCTGGAGCAATCGGAGAGGCCTCTGGACCGTCCGAGGCTGCCGGGGGCGCCGCCCTGGGCCGCGGGCCTTCGTGAGGGCTGCGACGATGGGGCCTCCCCTGCACGCACGGGCCCCTCGAACGATAGACACGATGGCGCTGGGCTCCAGCTTGGCCGCCCGCATGTCGGTGAGCAGCGCCATCGCCCGCTGCCACTGCCCGCCAACGTCGCACGCGCTGATCCCGGCGCTGTAGCTGACTAGGGTGTACCCGTGGACTACGTCCACTTGCGAAGTGATGGGGCGCTGCCGTTAGGCGATCACGATGGATGGCGTCAGATTCGCCTTCCACATGTCGCCAAACAGCTTGAGCGCCGCCTGATTGGGGAGCATGGGATATGAGGAGGCTCGATCGGGCCATGTGCAGAACGCATTGGGAACGGAAGCGCGATGGAGTAGCCGAGGGAGAAGAACACGGATGTCTTCCCATCCACCTCATTTTCCTTGTGTTGATCCTGTTCCTCCTCCTCCTCCGTTTCCGTTTCCTCCTCCTCCTCCTCCTGCTCCTCCTCCTCCTCCTCCTGACTCCCTCATCCTTCTCAGTGCCCTCCTGATCATCCTCGTCCCCCTCATCCTGTCCCTCATCTTCCTCTTCATTCTCCTCTCCTTCGGGTTCTCCCGCCTGTCCCTCTGCAGCGTTGGAACGCAGCGCGACAACACCCTTCGGCAAGGCATCAAAATGCGGTTGCGTCGAAGGCGTCGGCAGGGCCCAGTCTCGCGGGGTCTTCCTAGGCCTCTCTCGGGGCTCTCTTCGAAGTTCCTGAGATCTTCTTGGGCTCCTTTGGGAAGCTCCTAGCGGCTTCAAGGCCGTCTCGGTAAGGGCCTCGAGGGCGCCAGGACGGAACAAAAAAGAGCTTCGTGGTGTTCGTTTTGAGGGGCGCTCAAAACGAACAGTGCGCGGCCTCTCGCGGGGCCTTCCTAGGCCTCTCGGGACTCTCTTCGAAGTTCCTGAGATCGTCTTGGGCTCCTTTGGGTGGCTCCTCGCGGTTTCAAGGCCGTCTCGGGAGGGGCCTCGAGGGCGCCAGGACGGAACAAAACAGAGCTTCCAGGTGTTCGTTTTGAGGAGCGTTCAAAACGAACAGTGCCCAGCCCGTGGTGGGGCCTTCCCAGGCCTCTCTCGGGCTCCCTTCGAAGCGTCTGAGATCTTCTTGGGCTCCTTTGGGAAGGTCCTCCCGGCTTCAAGGCCGTCTTGGTACGGGCCTCGAGGGCGCCAGGACGGAACCAAAATGAGCTTCGAGGTGTTCGTTTTGAGGGGTGCTCAAAACGAACAGTGCGTGGCCTCTCGCGGGGTCTTCCTAGGCCTCTCTCGGAGCTCTCTTCGAAGTTCCTGAGATTTTCTTGGGCTCCTTTGGGTGGCTCCTCGCGGCTTCAAGGCCGTCTCGGTAGGGGCCTCCGGGGCGCCAGGATGAGGGGCGCTCAAAACGAACAGAGCGCGGCCTCTCGCGGGGCCTTCCTAGGCCTTGGGCTCCTTTGGGTGGCTCCTCGCGGTTTCAAGGCCGTCTCGGGAGGGGCCTCGAGGGCGCCAGGACGGAACCAAAAAGAGCTTCCAGGTGTTCGTTTTGAGGGGCGCTCAAAAGGAACAGTACCCAGCCCCTGGTGGGGCCGCAAAGAACGCGAGGGCGCGGGGAAAAGCACGCACCGGGAGCTCGCAGGGAACCTCCTCCGTCAGCAGGAACGTCGAAGTGGCAAGTTTTCCAGAGAAAATGTATTTTTTTCCCTCCTCAGGCGCTCCTGCCGGCGCGTGTTAGACCGCTCTGGGGCCATCTTGTGCGCGCGGGGGAGGCTGCTGAGCTTGCAGCGCGCCTCCGGAAGCATCTCGGAGCGCCCGAAGAAATCCCAAGAGAGCCCGGAGGAGGCCGCGGAGGGCCGGAAGAAGGCCCCGAGGCGCCAGAAGGGCCGGACAGGGGGCCCGAGGCAGCCGAAAAGAACGCGAGGGCGCGGGGAGAAGCACGCACCGGGAGCTGGCAGGGAACCTCGTCAGCAGGAACTTGAAAGTGGCTCGTTTTCCCGAGGAAATGCTAATTTTTCCCCTCCTCAGACGCTCCTGCCGGCGCGTGTTGGAGTGTCTTGGGCCATCGTGGGCGCGAGAGGGAGGCTGCTGAGCTTCCATGGCGCCTCCGGGGAGGCATCTCGGAGCGTCTCGGAGCGGCCTGGGGCAGCCTCGGAGCCGCGCTGGGAGTCGACCAGAGCTTGCTGGGGCGCCCGGGGAGGGCTCCGGAGGGGCCGGTCCGCTGTCACTGCTCTACACTTTGGCGAGCGGTGAACGCTGCCTTGTAGTAGAGAAGACTAGTATGAGCCCGTGGACTATTTCCACGGGCTGCTGAACCGGGGACTCGCAAGCAACAGGCTCAATCTGCAGGACAAGGAGTCGAAGCCGAACAGCTCGTGGAGCTCGTGGAGAGGATTGGGCTTGGAGCGCGGGGGGGCGTGCCGCCGCAGCGACTCCGTGGAGGGAATACGGTGAGTTCCTGTCGTGACGAGCTGCGCTGTTGCTCTTGACACCGCGTGGAACGTCCAACACGGCACGATCGGCACCTTGAAATCGTGAAATCGTTCACGTCGGCCCATTGTGGATCCGTGTCGGCGTCGAGCCCTGGATGTCGGCGCCGAGGTCGCCGCCGCGTCGACGCGACGCGAATCGGCGCATCCTCCCCACTGCTCGGTGAAGCCTGTTTCTCGGGAGGCGCGACGGGGCGGGCACTGGAGAGGAGGACCGGCACGAGGAGGGCGAATGGAGCTCTACCTCGGCCGCGGCCCAACCGACCCCTTGCGCGAGCGGCGCTCCAGCGACGACCTCCTCGCTCCGGAGGCCAGCCTCCGGCCGCGCGCGCGCCTTGCAGAGAGGCGAAGAGGCCGCCACGTGCGAACGATGGTCCGCTGGGGGGGGGGGCCGCTCCAGAAGCGCGCCCCGTTCGGCTGTGAGCGGCGTGCCGCGGTCTTCCACCATGACCGCGCAGCAGTACCGCTCTTGGGCCTCCCGGGGCAGGCGCGGGGCTCTCCTGGGCAGGGCGGCGCCGCTCCACGAGCGGGGCCGCGGAGGCGCCGCCGCCGCGGGCCCGGGCGGGCGCGTAGGTAGTGCGTCCTTCTGGTACGCGCTGAGGCCGATATTGTAGTGACCACCGCCGTGCCGCTGGGCACGGAGTGGGCGTGCCCTCAGGTCCTCGCCCCATCTCCTGCGCCTCAGCCCTGAGTTCTGAAAAGCCCATGAGGGACCCGGACCCAAATTTCCCAGATCTCTTGGGGCTTGCCGCTTGCCCCCTGGGCTCCCCCGCATCTGGTCCAGCGAATTTTTGCGGGCCTAAGAGGGCCCCAGACGGGCCAAGAGAGCCTCAGAAACGGGCCAAGAGGCCCCCAAGAGGCCCCGAGGACGGTCCAAGAGGGCCCCGAGTCGCCGAACGGTCGCTCCAAGACGCTCAAGATGGCCCCCAGATGGCCCAAGAGGCCACAAAGACGCCCCAAGAGGCGTCCCAAGAGGGCCCCAAGAGGCACATACCTATACGACCACCCTTCGGGTGATAAGGAGGCGAGGGGGGGGGGGGGCAACGTCGCACTCGATCGATCTCACTATCGAACTCACTACCGATCTCACAATCGACCTCGACCGATCGATCTCACAATCGATCTGCCTATCGATTTCACAATCGATCTCACAATCGATCTCACAGTCGGTCTCGCTAGTGATCTCACAGTCGATATCACAATCAATCTCACAATCGATCTCACATTCGATATGACTATCGATCTCACTATCAAACTCACTACCAATTTCATTATCGATCTCACATTCGGTCTCACTAATTACCGGTATCACAATCGATCTCGCAATCGACGTCATCATCATCATCATCATCATCAGCATCATCATCATCATCATCAACAACAGCAACATCAACATCGTCATCATCATCGTCATGATCATGATCATCATCATCATCATCATCATCATCATCATCATCATCATCATCATCATCATCATCATCATCATCATCATCATCATCATCATCATCATCATCATCATCATCATCATCATCATCATCATCATCATCACACCGCGGGACACCGGCACACCGGCGGGGACACCGCGGGACACCGCGGGACACCGGCGGGACACCGCGGGCCGGCCGCCCGGAAGGGAATCATTTGGTCCGGCCGCGCCTCAGCCACACGGGACACCAGCGGGACACCGGCGGGACACCGCGGGGCCCCGGCCGCCCGGAAGGGAATCATTTGGTCTGGCCGCGCCTCAGCCACAGGAGACTTTCTCTCGCCCGCCCACGCAGCTTCGCCTCGCCCGCACGGCACGCACGAACACGAAACCGAAATCGATTTCCCGGTAGGGGGGCTCTCCGTTCCACTTCGATCTCACCCCCTCACCTCCGATCATTAATGTTCCAAGGTTTTTGGCTGTCTCGCCTTTTCGGCTTCCCGATGCTCCAAGACGGCCCAAGAGGCCCTCAAGATCGCCCCAAAACGGCCCAAGAGACCTCCAAGAGGGCCCCAAAACGGCACAAGAGAGCCCCAAGACGGCCCCAACAGGGCCCCAAGACGGCCCCGACAGGGGCCCAAGAACGCGAGACCACGAACCGAACATCCGAGCTTTCCGTACCAAGAGGCCCCCAGGAGGCCCCCAGAGGCGCCCAGGAGGCCCCAAGAGGCTCCCAAGAGGCCCCCCCGAGGCCCCAAGAGGCCGCCAAGAGGCCCCAAGAGGCCGCCAAGAGGCTCCAAAAGGGCACCCAAGAGGCTTCAAAACTGCCTCCACGAGCCCCCCGAGTGACCTCCCACGAGATCCGAACGAACATCCATGGGCTTCATACCCACAACCTAGGCACGGTGGCGGGATGGCCCGAAGGCCATTTAGTAGATGACGTCGGGCGCCAGCTTCGCCTCCAGCATCTCGCTAAGTAACGCCAGCGCCCGCTGCCACTGTCCGCACTTGCCGCACGCGCTGATCCCAGCGTTGCGGCTAACGACATCGGACCCCAACTTCGCGCCCCACATCTCGCTCAGAAGCGTCAAAGCCAGCTGCCACTGCTGGCCCTTGTCGCACGCGCTGATCCCAGCACTGTAGCTGAAGGCGTTGGGATCCAGCTTCGCCTCGGACATCTCGGTGAGCAGCGCCAAAGCCCGCTGCCACTGCTCGCCCATCTCGCACGCGCTGATCCCTGCGCTATAGCTGATAGCTGACTAGTGGTTGAAATCCACGGTGGGCAGGCCCATACTCCTGCTCGTGCCCACAACTGCTTGCTGCTGATCTCTCTGCTTCGTGCGGCGTGCCGGGTGTGGCCGCGGCGTGCTGCTGCTTGCTTCTCTCTCGCTGCAGGAGGAGGAGGAGGAGGAGGAGGAGGAGGAGGAGGAGGAGGAGGAGGAGGAGGAGGAGGAGGGGGAGGAGGAGGGGGAGGAGTCCCCGTTGCTGCTGCCTGCAGAGGCTGCCTCCCCTGCCCGTTGGTACCGCTGGCTCCGCTACTGCCCGGCTCTCTCAACACGACGCTGCCGCACCGCGGGACTCTCGCGGGCCTCTTCGGGGCCGTCGTGGATACCATGTCGTTAGGTCGGGCATGCCCCCCTACAGGGGGATTATGGAAGAAAACTTAAAAATACCCCCAAAATGCCCCCAAATGGCCAAAAATGGTTAGACAACATCGTCCCCAGGCTATGTTTGTTACTAAGACAGGCCCGACTTAAGCATATTGGGGTTCCCCCGATCTCATGGAGCTGCGTCTGGGGAGGGGCATCTTCGGATCACCCAGAGCCTGGCGGGGCTCTCGGGAGTGTCTTGGAGCCGTGCGGGGAGATCTTCGTTGCCATCTCGGGCCGGTCCTGGGCCGTGTCAGGCCGCCTGGGGGACGTCGGGTAGGAGGAGGAGGAGGAGGAGGAGGAGGAGGAGGAGGAGGACTATTTTGGGCACGTCTCGGGCCTTCCAGGGGCCCTGGCGGGCCTCGTGTGGGAAGCCGTCGGCCACATCATGGAGCTGTCTGGAGCCCAAATCTGGACAGAGCGTAAAGCGATGAGAACATGTCAATACTGAGTGACTCTCCCAAGGTGGCGGCTCCCCAGGGTGGTATTCGAGCTCAGCCGATGAGCCGATCAGCGACCGAGTAGCCGATCAGCCGATAAGACCGATCGGCTGCTCGGCCGCTGATCAGCTGATCGGGCCAAGACGGCCCAAATGGATCGAAACGAGGTCCAAGAGGGGGAGCCCAAATAGACATGGTGAACCCCTCCCCTGAAAGATAACCGCTCCCCCAAGGAGCCCCCCCAACAGTCTCTCGGGGATGGACAGACCTCCCTTTAGTAAAACGTGGTTTAGTGAAAACGACTTCGGGCCCAAACCTGGCGGGCGCAAGCCTGGAAAATAACGGCCACGGCGCCCTCTCGAAAACCGAAAACGGACAATTCACTGATCGGCGTGTCACTGTTGGGGGTTCTGTCCACCCCCGAGTCTCGGAGCTCCCCGCGAGGCCGCCGAAGGGCACCCCAGGAAGCAGGCCTTGCAGGAGGTCCACGGGCACAGAGTGGTGCGGGTCGTGCCCGCCAAAAGCGCGCTGCCCCGAGCACAGACATGACGCGCACCCTGAAAGCGCAGCAGAGGAAACAAAAGCAGCACGCATGTGCGCGTGCACGCCCGCCCCGCCCTTCCAGTCGGGCGGCCTCGGGCCAGCGCAGCGAGTGGGGATCGGATGGCACTCTCGAATTTTGTTCTGCCCCCCCCCCCCCCTCCCTCGCCTCCTCCTCCTCCTCCTCCTCCTCCTCCTCCTGCTCCTCCTCCTCCTCCTCCTCCTCTTCCTCCTCCTGCTCTTGCTTCCTGATTTCTGATGGCGTTAGATGTCTCCAGCTGCGCGCGCCCGCGCGCGCTCGAGCGCCATCCAGGCAAGCGATCAAGCTGTTTGGTGCCGCGCGCCGACTCCGCCGCCAACAACTGCGCCGCCGAAGCGGCGCCACTGCGCCGCCGCGCGTGGCGCGACGCGCGCTCGACGCAGGACCGACGCGGCGCGAGGGGCCCCGCGGTGGCCTCCGAATTTCTCCTGACGCGCCCACCCCCCGCGCGATGTGCTCGCGATGTGCAGCGCTCGTAAGTCGCCATTGCTTCGCTTGTCGTTCGTTACGGAATGTCGTTTTGGTCGCCGCTCGTGGCTCGCGTTCGAACCTCGCGTGCGGTTGCTCGTCTGCGCGACTCGCGTCGTCCTCCTCCTCCTCCTCCCTCCTCCTCCTCCTCCTCCTCCTCCTCCTCCCCCTCCTTCCTCCTCCTCCTCCTCTCCCTCCTCCCTCCTCCTCCCTCCCTCCCTCCCTCCCTCCTCCCTCCCTCCCTCCCTCCTCCCTCCCTCCCTCCCTCCCTCCCTTCTCCCTCTCCCTCCTCCCTCCTCTCTCCTCTCTCCTCCTCCTCCTCCCTCCTCCCTCCTCCTCCTCCCTCATGGGGCAGCGTGAGGGGCAGATGCGGGGAGGGGGCCGACTCCCGGGCACAGCCGAAGCATGGTGGGGAGGGCCGGGGCACGGGCATCGCGCAGCGAGCGTGCGCGCGCCAAATAAACATCAGTATCTCCAGTTTTTTTTTTTTTGTTCTCTCTCTCTCTCTTTATCTCGTTCTCTCTTTCTCTCGCCCTATCTCTCTCTCATTCTCTCGCTGTCTCTCTCTCTCTCTCTATCTCTCGCACTCTTCTCTGTCCCTGTCCTCTCATGCTCCTCCTCTTGGCCTCATCTTTCTGCGCGACACATCCACTGGACTGCGCGACGCCTCGCCACGGGGCCGTCCAAAGACCGCCTGGAGGCACGGACGATGGAAAGTCGCACTGGGCGGGGGGGGGGCGGTGAGGAACGGGGAGCGGGAAAAGGACAGGCAGGGAAGGGAAGAGGAGGGAGGGAAGGGCGGCAGGGGGGGGGCGGGGGGGAAGGGAAAGGGGCAGTGCGCCGCGGTGCGGCGGCAGAGGGCCCGGTTTCGCCCGCGGGCACATGAGCCGAGAACGCGCTGTCATCGTCGCGCCCTTTCTAAAAAACCTGGGGAGGGAGAGGGATGAGCGAGGGAAGAGAGGAATGACGAGGAATGCGCGTTGCCTGATCGAGCGAACCAGCGGGCCACGCCAGGTTCCGGACGACGTGCAAAAACAGCCGTCTCAGGGACGGGCATGAGGCCCGCCTGCCCGCGAAGAGCGCCCAACTGTCCATCGCTCGGACGTTCATTCCCCGCGCACCTCCTCCTCCCCCTCCTCCTCCTCCTCCTCCTCCTCCTCCTCCTCCTCCTCCTCCTCCTCCTCCTCCCCCTCCCCCTCCCCCTCCCCTTCCTCCTCCTCCTTCTCCTCCTTCTTCCAACCCTCCCTTGGTTGGGTACTCGTTTTGAATAGAGCAGTGTGGTCTCCGTCCTCCCGCCCCCCTCCTGCCCCCTCTTGTCTTGCGCCTCTTGTTCCACACCCTCCCTCGCTCCCAAACCTCCCGGGGTTGGGTTCTCGTTTTGAACAGAACATTGTGGTCTCCACCGTGCCTGCCCCTTCTCCTCGTCCCGCCTCCTCCCGTCTCCCTCCTCTCCCTCTCCCTTCTTCCTCCTCCTCCTCCTCCTCCTCCTCCTCCTCCTCCTCCTCCTCCTCCTCCTCCTCTCCTCCTCCTCCTCCTCCTCCTCCTCGTCCCGCCTCCTCCCTTCTCCCTCCTCGTCCTCTCTCTTCTCCCTTGCCTTCTGCCTCCTGCCTCGTGCCCGCAAAACTATCGCCACTTTCGTGGGCCTTATGGAAGTCCAGCGGAGGGGTGCCCCACGGGGACCACCATGAATCCTTTCGTGGGCTCCTGGGAGGTCCAGCGGAGGGGTGTCCCAAGGGAACCACCATGAGACCTCGCCGTCCCCGATCTTCGAAAGTGTCGCCACTGTAGTGGGCTTCTGGGAGGTCCAGCGGAAGGGGTGTCCCACGGGGACCACCATGAGACCTCGCCGTCCCTGGGGGGCTGCGATCCGCGAAACTGTCGCCATGTTCGTGGGCCTTTTGGAGGTCCAGCGGAGGAGTGCCCCACGGGGACCACCACGAATCCTTTCGCGGGCTCCTGGGAGGTCCAGCGGAGGGGTGTCCCACGGGGACCACCATGAGACCTCGCCGTCCCTGGGGGGCTGCGATCGGCGAAACTGTCGCCCCTGTCGCGGGCTCCTGGGAGGTCCACCGGAGGGGTGTCCCACGGGGACCACCATGAGACCTCGCCGTTCCTGAGGGGCTGCGATCGGCGAAACTGTCGCCACTGTCGCGGGCTCCTGGGAGGTCCAGCGGAGGTGTGGCTCCCGGGGACCACCATCAGACCTCGCCGTCCCTGGGGGGGCTCCTGGGAGGTCCGGCGGAAGTGCGTCTTACGCAGATCACCATGAGACCTCGCCGTTCCCAGGGGGACTGCGATTTGCAAACCTGTCGCCACTGTCGTGGGCTCCTGGGAGGCCCAGCGGAGGTTCGTTTTACGCAGATCACCATGAGACCTCGCCGTTCTCTGGGGGGCTGCGATCTGCGGAACTGTCGCCACTTTCGTGGGCTCCTGGGAGGCCCAGCGGAGGTGCGTCTTACGCAGATCACCGTGAGACCTCGCCGTCCTCTGAGGGTCTGGGTTGCGACGTTGGGTGGTCCAGCGGCGCTGCTCCCACGAATTATGTCTCCAAGCGTTTGTGTTTCCACACTCCCTCGTGGCCGCCTTCCTGCTGACGATCTGACTCTTTAAGAGCGACGCCGCAGATGTGAACATGTGACTCTGACCCGACGTCCTTTGGCGAATCGTTCAAGGGCACGGCGGGTCCTTCGGCGCTCGCTTCTTGTATCGAGCGGTCTGGTGTACAGTCGCCTCGTGTGCACGCAGGGTTGGGTGCGCCCCTGGGTAGTTTGTTTTCGTGCGTGTTTGTTGACCCGGGATGCTCCTCGATGGCCCTCGCCGAGAAAAAATGCCCACGTCCGAGCGATGCCACGCCAACCGAGGAACTCGAGACAAGAGGCAGAGGAAGAGGAAGAGGAGGCCGAGGCGGAGGAGGAGGAGGAAGTGGAAGAGGAGGAGGGGGATGAGGAGGAGGAGGAGGAGGAGGAGGAGGAGGAGGAGGAGGAGGAGGGGAACGAGGAGGAGAAAGGAGGAGGGAGGAGGAGGAGGGAGGAGGAGGAGGAGGAGGAGGCAGGAGGAGGAGAGAGGAGAAAGAGGAGGAGGAG